GGGAATGCTGAAGTCCACTGCCTTCGCTACATGAGGTTTGATTCAAGTGTAGTTAACTGAAGCTATTATGTCATCTCACAGAGATTAATTCCTTGGTTTTCACATGTTTGTATGTGTTGTCTGTGTTTGAAAGTATCGACATATCGAACCCGATCATCTTTAACAGCTCACACAGAAGATGACTTTCCAAAATCTGCGTGACACAATAATCACACTGAGGGTTGATTATTATATGTGGAAGTTTCAGCCCAATAATTTGGGCTATTTGCCTCTTCAGTCAAGTACATTTGATATGAACCTAGGAGGTGCCTGTCACTATTTTTTTTTTGACTTACAGAGGCTTGTTATCAGAAGGCTAGAGAAATCCTGCTATCTCTTTAGTAAATATTTGCCTTGGGACTTGCAAATAGGGAGGTACCACCTGGGGCCATTCTGATGCATGTGTACCAACATCATGCTCATGTGTTGCTGGGGATGCGCTAGATGCTTTAACTGTGGAATAGCCCCAGCAAAGCGTTATCATGTTTTACAATATTTATATTTCACCTCCTTCCTGTTGCAAGGAAACCAGGGAAACTTATATGGTACCCTTGATCCTCACAACCGCTTTGTGGGGTAAGTTGTTGACTAGCTCAAAGTCACCCAGTGAACTTCATGACTGAGTATGTGCTGTGATTTCGGTATCCCTCACTCACATGACTTTTTTGACCTTTAAGGCAAATCCATTGCCTAGTATTTCATCAGTATTTCATGCTAGGAACATGGGTAATAAGCAGGAAAAGCTTGAGTTTCTCCTGGGAACAGGAAGGACAGGACACGTTCCAATGGAGCAAAGCTCAGGGGACCAAGGCTCAACTTAGATGCCAGGAAGTGGTTCCTGGCCAGTTAGGACCCTGAGGGTGTGGAATGGGTTTCCACAGGAGGTGGTGGAAGCCCCATGGGTGCAGGTGTTCAAGGATAGGCTGGGCATGCACATGGTAGGCACGTCATGAGCAGAGGGGCTGGAGCTGAGGGTTAGACTAGATGGCCTGGGAGGCCCCTTCTGACTCGCTCTGTTTCTACATTTCTATCACTTATTAGGGCAGACCAGCTGCATTTAAAGAGGAAAGTCTAGTCCTAGTCAGTTGTTCAATATTTGAACCGGGCAAACATAAAATGACTGGGAAAGCTGCAGTCCCGTAGGTCCCCACTGTTGCATCTGGCGCTCTCAAGCGACGGAGCATGAAGGTCTGCGTGTGGACAGGACGCTGGAAAACGTTCTGGCCTGAGTGGAGAACCTCTGGCAATGGAGGAGGCTTTTCTTTTCAGACGTACCCCTTCAGGTATAGAGGGCAACAGATGCTATGAAGAGCGACTGTAGGGCTGGAACACTGCTTTCTGTTGTGTGCTTACTCTGTGCAGATGCAGAATACTTCTGATTCAGTCATATCAAAGTTGGCCCTTGGTTGAAGGATGTAGACATATAGCTTCCTCACGTGTTTTCTGGATGTTTGAGGGGAATGTGGCTGTTTGCATTCCTATGGCCTGATTTGGGCAGTTGTATCTAAAAGGCGCTGTGTGTAGACTTTCTCACATACAAGTATGAATGTATGGCCAGTAGGTAAGCAAGACCCACAGATGCTTTCTGATCAATGAAGTCATGTTAGGGTTATGAGTTAATGAGACTTGGCACACTGTTCTGGGCAGTTCCCCTAATTGGCAAAAGGGAGGTGATGTCAGAGAAGCCAGGTTAGACACGACCATTTTGTGGAAAGTGCCTGGCTCAATAGGGAAGCTATGCGAACTTCAGTGGATGAAGCAGGCATGAAGCTTTGGTCTTCATGGATATAAATATTGTTGTTGTTATTACAAGCATTTCTATCCCATCCTTCCACGCAGGCTCTCAGGACAGCTTACATAATATAAAGGAGAAATATTCAGAGAGAATGGAAATCGGATTGGTTTGGACCAGTTATTTAGTGTACAGGTTAAACCCATCGACACACTTGTGGGTTGTTACCACAAATAAAGGATAAATGGGACCTGCAACAAAATGTTGCAATAGGGAGTTCTTTTCTTCAGGGTTCCACCCAAGAGGGTTGCCCTTTTCTGGGATACTCTGCTTCATTCACTTCCCCCCGCTTTTTTTGGTTGCCTCTGCTTCCCAACAACCTATGGAGCTGTTTTGTTTTGTTTCTCGTTTTTTCTCTATAGACTCTTTGTATTTTTTCCCTAAATCCTGAAGTTTCCACAAACATGCTGACAACTCCTCCTTGTGGGTGGAAAGTGCCATTTGGCTAAGGAGAATTGAGTTTGCTATTAGTATTGTATAGGACAGTGATTTTCAACCTTTCTACAGCTGGGGACCGACAAAAATAGGAAAATTTGTGGTGGTGCGGGGGGACCACTGAGGCAGAATTAAAAAGCATTATATATGTAATATACTATTTTGTGGATTAGTTTCTAAATATAATACCAAAAAATGATAATTCTCTAAAATAACCAGAAACCGAGCAGTAAAAATGCTAATAAAAGAATAAAATATTGAAATTAAATGTAGTCAAATACAATTGAAATTTTTAAAGAGCGATATTTAATTCAAATAAGGCTAATGTAACATGTGGTGTTGCTTCTTTTCAAGAATGCTTGATAGTTGTGGCTGCAGTGCTGTTTCCGAGAGACGAAATGCTGCACTGACATCCGTTCTGTTTCTTTGGTTGGTTTTTATCAGTGACAGGGCTGAAAAAAACTTTTCATACAAAGATGTACTAGAAAATATGAATAACAATTTAATAGCTCAGTTAACTTAGAGACAGGTATTCTTTTTCCAGGGATATCCAAAATTAGGACAATGATTGCATTTTCTGTTTGGACACCAGAATGACATCAGAAAAGTGACTGTGCCATATGTCAGTTTTTGATTCTAAAGGAAGCAAAAGCCAAATGTAGCCAAACATGTACCCGGGATTTCAAGAAAGCCAATTTAAATAAACTCAGAACAATGATAAGTAAAGTCCCATGGCAAGGGTCTCTGATGCGAGAAGTTCGTGCTTGATGGGAATTTTTAATGAAGGACATTCTAAGGCACAATTCCCACAAGAAAAACGGGTAGAAGACAACAGAAGACGCCCATGTGGCTTCACAAAAGCTTAGCAAGGCTCTGTAAACAAAAAGGACAGTTATAGTGTCATCTTTGAACTTAATCTCAGAAAAGAAAATTTAGAAAAAGTAAGACTAATTTTTGGATTACCTTGCACATCCTGCTTTGCAGACAAATTGCTGCAGGTATTTGTGGTGCAGGGAAAAGGAGAATAGAAAGAGGTGGCTGTGAGGAAAACGGGCATGGGAGAACCAGTGTCGTGTAGAGGTCAGAGTCAGCGAAACCAGCAAGAGGGCAGTGGGGAAGGGGATAGGAGAGCAGCAATGTATGTAGGGCTGACTGGACGGGGCCACATCTATATAGGGTAGAGAGAAAAGGGGGTTTTGGGGAGGATGCTTGGAAGGGACCTGAAAAAGAGTAGGGTTTTGTGCTGATGAAGTGAGGAGAAGGAAAGGGAGTGTGTGCATACGTGGCTTGGTGCATGATAGAACGAGGGCATATCACTGGTGATGATTCAGAGAGCAAGGGAGAGAGAAATATAATGGTGATGTCGCTGGCTGGTAGAGAGTGGGGGGAGAGCACTTATGTTCTATGAAATAGGTTTCTGTTGGTGCTTTAAACAGAGGGTTCAAAAGAGTTGCTCAGTGTATTGGGGCCCCCACCTTGGCCTTGTATTTGGCATTTTGGGCAGGCTTTTTAATCCTTTACAACCTGCTGTGCTTCCTGCAGCAGCTAATTTCTTGGGAAAGTTCCAGTTTGCCAGTTGTGCTCACGGGTACCAAAAGGTTTCCTGCTTTGGTGCTAGTCTCTCTGAAATCTGAAAAGGGTACCAGAGATGACTGCATCCCCTTACAAGATTTGTAGGTGGTGTGGGGTAGCCTATAATTCCTGCCTGTTTGTGATCCTCAAGTCCTTCATTGGATCAGAACAGAATAGTCACGTACCTTACCAGTTAGAGACCTTGCCACAGTATCTGACCTTGGTTCTGGAGCTTTTCCAGTCAGTTTGTATTATATAAATACAGATTTGTGTTATATTACCCACTAAGGAAAGGTTACAGACTTGAGAATTACTGTCCAAGGACTTAGAGCTCTGCCAAAGCACTAGTTCCACTAATTACTCTGCAAGCTTGTTTACTTTACCATTCTATTTTTATTGTAGGTCCTGAAAAATTTGAATGTATTTTGAATGAATTTGTGTGTATTTGAATGAATTTTTATTCATATTTGAATTTGAAGTATGAATTCATTCAAATATGAATTTAATTTCATTCACATGAATTTGTGTGTATTTTTTAAACATTAGATGTAGTTTTATTCATTTTTCTTGATGTGTGATATTTGTAGGGAGCTTTTCATATTCTGTGAAAGGATTTACTGAGCTTAGGATGAAATTGTTTGCAGATCCACAGGGATAGAGAGTCATGTCCTACTTTATTCTGAGTCAAGTGTATATATACTATGGAAAATTTCTGGATCTTATACAGTGCTAAGAAGTGCAAACTTATTCAAAGAAGCATGTGACCTAGACATCATGTGTTCATAAAACAAAGCTGATGCAAATAAATTAGCCTTATAATACTGTGAAAATATGCATGAAAAAATAATTTTTCTTTCATCACAGGTTAAACACTTTTCTGCTATGTTTGAAAAACCAGCAGTTTTTGAAAACTTTTTAATGTTTCTGTGTACAGAAGCTTTGAAACTCCATTTCTTCTTTTATAGCCTTGCAAATACATAGCTGGTTCCCCAAACTAGGACCCTGGGAACTGCCTAACTTCCGTGCATAGAGATCTTTCATTCTTCATAATGTTCAAGAGGGTGGGGGGGGGGGATGAAGGAGCTGAAGGTTGCTGATGTCTCAGCCCAGGTGTTAGGGAGGGGCTTGCTCAATGTAATGCACCCTTTGTGTTCCTTTGCAGTTCGCCTCCATGATAGCATATCTGAGGAGGGCTTCCACTACCTCGTCTTTGATCTGTAAGTAGAAAATTGGCCTTGATTGTCACAGTAGATGGTCCATATTCTTTCATTTGATGCTGTTGCCAAATCGGTCAGCCAGACGTGTTCTGATATCAACTTGGAATGCCCCTACTTTAAAATAATGTTCCCCTGTACTCATCGAGCAGAGCATCGCAGCTATCACAGCATGTCCTGTTCCTAAGGGCAAACTGTGGATAGCTTTCCCCTCTCCCTTCTGAGTAAAATGTTTTGTGCTGCTTGGAGGAGCTGAGCAGACTGGCATCCTCATGGATGTGGGTGGACAAAGGTTGCAGCTGCAGCTATTCCATTAGCATGAAGGGGTGGGTGGGGAGGAGGGGGAAAGAAGGATATCAGAACGATGTTTCTGGTGGTGACTCAGTGCTCCTGTCACATGATGCCCAGTGTAGCTAAACAGCTGTTTAGACAGAGACATGCCTACTATGAACCAGGGAAGATTTAAACCTTCCATTGGCTCAAGGGCTCTAGACAGTGGTGTTCGCTTATGCCTCTCGCCTTTCCTTTTGTTGGGATGGCTCTAGGCCATGTCCGATGCTGGCTGCTTTTGCCAAGTGTCTGGGTGCTTGTGGAGACACTGTGTGCTCTGCTCGGCTGCCTCTCAGTTCATTCCAGATATAGAAGCTGGTGATCTCATCTCTCCTCCTCTCTGACAGCTCCAGTTAAGCAGTGAGCTATATTTAGCGCTCCTCTGAGTCAGTGCCGCTCCTGCTTGTCTTTTGCTGGAGTCACACAGACCTTGGCATGTCCCTGGCCTGCGGAAGAAGGATCGAAATCTACATGCAGGTTTTACCTCCAAGCCACATGGCAAGAGATGCCCGTGGCGCCTGGTTGTGATTGATCCACTCGCTATGGCTTTGCACCGTCTTTCTGTAACATTGTAAACTTACAAGGTGAAATCTTGATTCCTTCAGTATTCAACAGTTCCTGGTACATGCAGAATAAAGTGGGAGACAGACTTTGAACATTCATGGAGTGTGTTTGGAAAGCTGGAAGGTGCAGGTCTCATATCCCTGAAACCTTTCATATGTTTGAGCATGTCTTCCTTCTGCTTTGCATTGCTCCATTGTTTTGTCAGAAATTCATTGGTGGTGTAGGCAGAAGGATGACAAAATCTTGCATCTGATCCCCTGCTATAACCCCTGCTGTTATTTACTAAGTTGTTTCACAGCCTCTGCTGTTCTTTATGCACACTCACGCACACTCCCTAGGGAGTGAGTCCCAGTGAACTCGCTGGGACCTCTGTTTGAGCAAACGTGTTTCGGATTGCACTGCCGTGCTTTCACAGAGCACCATGGTATAACAATGGTCACATCACCTGTTGGGTTGGAGGGTGTGCGCCATGACCTGAGCACTGGCGTATGTGGCTTGCGAGGAAGAATGCACGCCGAAGGCACACACATCCGTATTTTGAAAGTGCAGTCTGGACATTACTTGTATTTTACACCTATCCTGCCCTGTCTCTGTTGTAAAGCATGAGTACTGAGCCAGTTTCAGCCTGAGGGTTTCATTGCAGGCTACATTTCAGTGGAGGCAGGACCAAGACAATAGGAGGCATGGCTCACACCAGGCAGGGCAGGGCCCAAATGGCAAACATGTATTTTAGCCTGAAGCTCTTCCTGTCAGTAGCAGAGCCTTCGGAGAAGCATTTCTGCCCATTAGAGTCATGGTGCTGGCAGGACAGGCAAGTGCTGGAAGGTTGGAAGCCCCCAAATACTTGGTAGTTTGGAGAAAGAGAGAGTGGCCATTGGGGACCCCTGAAGAGCTGGACTGGGATGCCAGTCAGGCTGGCTGTGGCCCATGGGCCTGAAGGTCAACGCCCCTTTTGTGAAGTCAGCCTCAGTAAGGCGTGGATTCACATGATCATTTTTCTTCTAGTGAGACCTACATAGGAATGTGTTGTGGGGAAATCCATAGCCAAAGTGCTACACCTGTCAGTTGGTTCCATCGCTGGTTCCTTTGCTGAGAATGAAGTACATTTTTCCACTGCTGGCTTTCCTTTCCTTCGAGTCATTCCTCATGTGAAGGACCATCCTGAATCTTGAGTGCTTTTGAACTGATATCCATCACTAGGTCTCTCGGGCTTGCTCTTCCAAAGCCAGCTGAAATATCTGAGAAGTGCAGGTGTTCAGACTATCTTGATATTAATCTTGCTGGGCAGCTTCTCAAATTATCATTTCTGTTGCAGGCTTGTTATAGCTGCACCTATGACAAAATCATAATCCCGGAAGGGTTTTCATGCATGTGTCCACTTAGGATAAATCTGTATATATGCAGAGCTGTCACTCAGTACTCTTCCTTCTAATTCTCTTTCCAAATAGAAAGACTCCCCACCTTAGGAGTGTCTCAGGAGGGGCTTTACAGAGCATTCCTAATGTGAGGCAGATCCCTATCCTTTCTTCCCTTAGGATTTATAGTGACAAATTTGCACTTAGCCTTATAAAATTTAGAAAAAGAGAAAGTTTTCAGTTACCTTGGGAATTCTGATTTGCAGACAAGTTGCTGCAGATATTTGTGGTGCAGGGAAAAGGAGACAGGATGAGGTGGCTGTGAGGAAAATCAGAACAAGATTTCCTCTCCAAGGCTGTGGTGCCCTCTTGGCTGTCATAAAAGAGGCCATGTGGGCTCTTCAGAGTCAGGCAACTGGCAGCACAGAGGGAAGAAGTGGGTTGGAGGCGGTGCAGTCGCAGCCTTGCCTGAGTGGGAGAAAGAACAAGACTTAAAGTTGAAGAGACACTGCGGAAAGCAAACTGCGCTGCTGAGAGAGGCACGCAGAGTAGGTTGCCCCGTGCTTTGAACAGCCTTGTACTGGCTTGAGGTGGCCCAACGGGCAGCCACCAGAAGGCACGAGTGATTGCAGGAACGTATTCGGTATCATAGGAAAATGTTCTTAGTCGTGCCAACATTGCCCATTTCTCTCTCTGTGTTAAAATGGCAGCTCATACAAAGGGTCCTGTCTGAGAAGAGCAGGTCGCTCAGGTCTTTGTCGTGAATTAATGGCAGCGCCTGCTCCAGGGTCATCTAAAAGCCCTCGGTGAGCCCGCCTCTGCCTTGCCGCTCCCTTCACGGACCATCGCTTGACCTCTGCCTCTGGGCCCAGTCTGCTCAGTCATCCAGGTGGAGGGTGCAAGGCAAGAGAAGCTCCATCTTGCTACTGTTTGTAAGTTCAAAAAGAGCTGATGACCAGGCAGTGGCAGCCAAGGCAGGAGCAACAGGGCCCAGAGCCTGTAGGTGTTACCAACAGACCTTGTCAGACTGGTGTTTGACAATACCAGTTCCTATATATGCAACGCAGAGCATCTTCCTGGCAGAGTAGAAGCCAGTTTAATCTTAAACTTTCCTTTCTTTCTTTCTTTCAGTTATGAGTCAGGCCATTTAAGAAATGGAATATGGGGGAATAGAGCTTGCCACTGGTCCTTTGGTTTTTCGGGATCAGCTGGGCTGCAGCAGCTCCTCCTCAGGAGGGCACTGTGGGTGAATTGCCGGTGTGGTTTGAACTCTGGCCTGTGTTGTGTTGCAGGGTCACAGGCGGCGAGCTCTTCGAAGACATCGTTGCTAGAGAATACTACAGTGAAGCTGATGCAAGGTGAGTGGTACCTCCACCTTCATCTGTCTCCTTCCATCCTTTTTCCTTCCCTACCCCCACCCCTTCTTTCTGTTCCCTGATCCCATGCCAGCTCGTACCTGCACAACATCAACCCATCTAAGACTGGGGGCAAAGGGTTGGACTCAAAAACTATCACAAGGACGCAGCAAAATTTGCAAGCCCCTTGGCACCAGCGAATGCCATTCTCACATGCAGTGCCAGAGCCCCACTCCATGGTTACTAGATCTGATTATTGGATTGCAGCAGAGAATGGAGCTCCTGTACCTTTGCAACTCTGAAGGAGAAGGGATGTTGGCAGGGAACCCTTGCAGTGTTTCAAAGATGCATCCATTCTCATCCCCACTCTTTATCCCAAGGGCCAAGAGCTCCATTCTCTTACTGCATCTGATTGTCTTAAGAGAATCCCCTCAAAAGGAGCTTCTAACCAAGGCAGGCCACCACAGCTCCTCTGTGGTGTGGAAAGAGTGGCAGGCAGGAGAGATTTTACTCAAGAGCTGGCTGGCTGAAGTGCATCTCCTACATCACTTGACTTCGTTTGGGTCTCTTAAGATCCAGAGGGACACGCAGCACTTACAGGATACAGAATCAAATAGGCCAAGGTCAGTGCTTCCATTCTTCAGCTCTTTAAACCTGATCCATTTTCAAATCTATTTTGGCTCACCTAAACTAGGTTAGATGAACCATCATGTGGGTGCTTTCCAGTTTAGCTGCGCTGGATGGAGATGAGGTGGGGTGGGGGGGAGGGATGGAGCGGGAAATCAGTATAAGGATTAGAGATTGGATGGAGTGCAATTGTTCAGGATTAGCTCTTGCTGAGATATAGATCACTGCAAAAATAGCAAGGTTAAAGAACAACGGCAGCGCTGTGTGTATTAGGGAGGAATCAAAAACTGGCACACAGCAGCCGGCGGCATTCGGAGCAGTGAGTGGGCCACCTGCACCCTTCCAGTGGTGTGAAGGAGTGAGGGCCTTGGGGTGGCTTTAAAGAGGCGTTGGCAAAACGTGTGCAGAGGAGCAGAGCCGAAATAGCAGGAGTCTGACGAGGGCTCGGCTGCACCGCTCAAGGAATACGCTGGCCAGCTGCCTTCTGTGCTGACGGAGCAGTTGTCACTTGCCCATGGCGGCTTCCCACACGGCTGTGGTGGTGACCTGGGAGTGGGGAATCTGTGTGAGAGAGGCAGACCTCAGTGAGAAGAGCCCTGCCAGCAGCAGAGGGCATACGGGGCGTGTCTCTTGGCGGTGCGATTTCCCCACGTGATTCTAGCTCTCCGACAAAATTCCTCCTTCCTGCAGGTCGGGATCAGTGTGGGAAATAGCCATGGGCGTGTAAGAACCAGTCTACTCCTCTGTTGTAAATGCCAGTTGTGTTTTTAGTTCGTGTGCTCCCTGGGGCAGGCACCTGTCTTTTGTGCTTTATAAAGTGCTATGCACATTGGTTTACTGCACAAATAATAAAGAACAGGGTAAAGAGCTTTATGTTGTGTTTGAGTGTTTCTGAGTGACAAACCCGGCATCCCCTAACCAAAACCACCAGCTCTGCACTGTGTGTAGCTTTGTGGTTATTCACTGGAGCTGAGCACAGGTTCCTTCCTGTAAGGCAGGATTGAGTAATGGGAAAGCATCACCTTGTATTCACTGCAGATCTCTCTGAGATTTAGGGCGCAGAAAGATGAGCGGCTCTGTTGTTTCTCCATTGAAGCTGCACATAGAGAAAGCAGAAGCAGATGGTTACAGATGTATTTGGCCACAAGGAGGTTGCCAAGTGCACAGCTGTTCAAGAAGAGGGAGCCCATTCACACGACCTAATGGAAACTTGGAAATCCATATGAGACGATGCTATGCGAGAACAGATAAGCTTGCCCGATAGCGCAGTAAAAGAGTGCTATGGTGTGCCCAAACCAAGGCGTCTTCTCTATGGCCCATTTCTCTCAAGGAGGGGTTGGAAATGTTGACCCCATCGTGTTTGTTGCTGCTTTCAGTGGTTAGGCTGAGGTATCTTCATGCATCAAGAGAAGCCAGGTATAGCTAGTGCCAATAAACCATTCCACATAATTGAATTAGCAACAGAAGGGCACAACTTGTTCAGGGAATTAATGAGATCACATCGCCCCCAAATCTAAAAGCTGCTTAAGTCGTGGGAGAAATTTCAAGTTGTGTTGGGCTTGTGAGGAGGGGAGACTTAGTTCAAAGAGTCAAGGCCTATGGGGGTTGCTACAAGGCCGTGATGCTGTTACTCAGTGGAACTGTTTCTTTCTGGATAATTTCATGAATGCCCTGCAAAAGAATGATGAATATGTCTGTGCTGCTTCCAGAACTGAGATTTGTAACAGTTTCTTTTTTCAAAAATGGTAGATATTCATTATGTGGGCTGAAGGCAGCCTGGCCTGGCCTGGGGTTAGTTTTTTGCATTGGTTTCTTGGGTGTGGCTTGTGCTTGCTTCTAGTCCCCTTTGCTTTTCTGATGTACTTTCTTTCTTGTGTTGGACCTACAAAGTGTTGCTTTGGCTTCCTACTGTTTATTCTAATCCTCCACCTTTTGAGATTCAGATGGATGTCGGTGTCTTGGGCTTGGGAGCAAACTACCTGGAGCCGTAGGGAAGCCATGTCGGTTGGTCTGTGTCTCTCAAGATGAAGATGAGCCCCTTATGAACCCCCTCGTTTGGCTTGGCTGAACCGATATTGCAAACCCTTGGGGCGCTCAGCTGCATTTGCCTGGCATGGCAGGATTTTTGCATGATGCCTGGCTGTCTTTGTGGGCTGTGGGCCCAGCTTGTGTCAGGGATGGCAGCCTGCACTCTGCTGTGAAGAATGATCACTTCCCTTTTCTTGTGCAGTCTAATGGACATCGTGTTGCAGAGCGGTAGCAAACAAAATGATGCTGCCAACCAAGAGAGAGAGTGCTAGAATCTACCAGATAACCTTCTCCCATTTTTGCAACTTCCAAGTTTATTAGAGAGGATCCCAAAAGCAAGTGGCAGAACCAAAGACCCAAGATCAGCAGCAGTGCAGATTGGGAGGTTTACTCCTCTGACATTTTCAACTCAATCCTTAAAAGATATTTACTCAGAAGCAAGACCTGTGATTTCAGAAAGACTTACTACCATGTAAGTGTACATACGAGGATTTGCCAGCAGCAGAAAATCTAGATTGCACCATATAGGACAATAATATAATATATAATAATTGGTAGTTTACTACTCTTTTTAATTATCTCCCCCATATCAGTCACCTGATGGAATCCACCTCTCCTTGCAGCATGGCGAAGGCCAGCCTTGCTTCTCTCTTCCTGATTTAGGAGATGTCCATAGGGCATATCAGATAACAAGTATGCCATTTTCTTCTGGTGTCTTCTTCTAGCTTAGGAATGGCCAAATGGGTTCCCACTGGCTATAGGCAGTACCTAGAGCAAGTGTGTTGCAGTGGTACAAGTGTTGGTCTTCAGCCCAGGGGCCCTAGGTTGTAATCTGCATTCAGACAGAAAGCTTGCTGTGCGATTTGGTTCAATCACTGTCTCTCAATCGGAGCAGCCTTATAGGGTTGCTGTGAAGAGGTCATTAGAATCCTAAATAAACCCAGCCTCTGCTTACCACTGTTGCCCTCGCCCCTCCACTTGCCCTCCTCCTCTGGGCCCAGACTGCACAACAGACCAGAAGATGAGCGCAATGAAGCGGAGGTTCTGGACGCCATTTGTACACCTCACTCTTAGCACTGTTTGCGTGCTTGGAGAGAGCAGGTGTTCAGGTGGATGGGAGGGCCGGGAGGTCCCAAGTGCTGACAGTGGGACTTGCACACAGATGTGGATCTCAGCAATGGACTAATAATGATGACCTGCATACCAACCCTGCCCCAGAGAAGACAGAAGTTCACCAGTCCCATTAGTGAACTGTAGTGAATTACAGTGTGAAGACTCAGTCCCAGCTGTATCAGCAGAGGGCCGGGTTTGCAGGAATCATCTGGGTTTACAGAGTGAAACAAAACCTCAGTCCAGAGGTATAATTCCACTAGCTCAAAACTTCTAAAATATATGGGGACTTAATTTTATCTTTCCGCAGGTGTCAGATCCAGTGCTGTGATTCTGTTGTGCAAGCTGTTTTGCAAGTAACGATCCGTTGCACACACCAGTGTGCAGGTTGAGCCATAAATCAGTGCACAAGGCTTTGCACAACTGATGATGACCATTAGACTAGATTGCTTGTGCTAGTTATATCACCTCTAGTAGAACTATGCCAGCTCTTCTTGTAATGTTTCCACAAGCATAATGTTAGCTATAACCCAGACTTTGGAGGTGCTGACCTCTGTCTTTACCAAGGGTTTCAAATGTAGAGTTCCCAAAACTATACATCCTAGCTTATTTCAAATAGAGGGGATGGTCTTAATGAAATGAAATTGAAGTTAACACCACTGGATTTTTTTTTCTTCAAAGTGATATGCATAAAATGGACAATAAACAACATGTCATATAATATAATGAGCAAAAGAAATAACGAACACATTACAAAGAAAATGCAGATGTCAAAACAAACCAAAATACAGGCCTTCAGATTGCCCTCCCACATTTGCAGTACTAAAGTGGAGTAAATATACAACATTACCTGGGAACAAATCCCATTGAACTCACTGGAGCCTACATCTGAGTAGGCAAACATAGGATTGTGCTGCTAGTTCCAATATTTTCCCATCCCTACATAGCAGACATCGAGATTGGAAACAACCAGAAGTATTGTATGGTACAATTCTACCTTGATTGTACCACTTTAGATTGCATTTAGATTCATTATAAAATGGCTGGAATTCATAGATTGACTAGATATCAAAATAGAGGGTTCCGTCCTGAAAGATGGCCTAGAAATTATTTTAGATAATTTGACTATAGAGACAGGGTCATATGTTTGAATACACTCATGAAACAAAAAGTGCTACTGGAGGAAAATTAACATTTTAGCAATAAGACACTTAACATGGGGTGCAGGAAGCCTTTAG